AGGACAAAGTGATTCAGAAAACCAAAAGAGGTGATTGCCTAATTTAGCTTCCTATACAACGTTATTCTACACAGAATTAAACTATCTTCAATTTCTATGTGACTTCCCTCACTCTGTAATGTTTGTATTTTAAACATCTGGCAAAATCTTCGATATTCTGAAAGAAGCATAACCTTGTCTCAAAATGTGCTGTCCTAAAAAGAAGTTGGAAAAGAGATAAAGTGAAAGAAAATTAAAAATGAATGATTACTGGCAATTATTATAGAAATAAACAAGAAAGATACAAATACTGTTTTCTTTTTTACTTGAGAATAAAAATAAGTTGCTTAGAGCTTCTTAAGATTACCAAATCATAAAATAGATCATGTGTTCTGTATAATAAGTAAAACACTGGATTAAAGTATGTTAAGCAATCTAGTAAAGTAATTCTGGATCTGAAACAAAAAGGTAGTTATAGAACAAAACTTTTTTTCCATTAATAAAAATAATACTTTAAGGCTAAAACTAAAAGGTTCTAAACAGAATCTTGTCAACATCTTTTTATAATATTAATGAAGTTCAAGGCCATGTTTACTAAAAAAATTTTGGCAAGATAAACTTGCACAATTAAAATAAATATAGTGTCACGTGATTTGGTTTCCCAAAGCCTGGAATTTTGACCTCAACTGAAGTCTTCCCAATTCCAATGCTATAAATAACTACTATAGCTGAACAAGATATTAAACTATTAATTCTCACAGACTGTGGTTGCGCCTTTGCAATGTGCAGGTCCCATGCAAGTATTTGATATAAACTTATTCATTTGACAAACATTTATTGCATATCTATCAGGGTTATGTCCCACACCAGGCAATGATAATATAAAGGTGATCAAGACCAACACAAGACCTCTCCTTAAAGGGCGAAGACAAGCAGAAAAGACAGGCAATTAATAACTGCAAAAAGTCATCATCTTGGAGTATATGGTAGAGTTGGGGAAGGCCGTCTGGAAGTTCAGAGGCAATGTCTTTCAAAATCTTCAAGGCTACGGTAATAGAACATGCTGCATGTCTGTAGGTTACTGCTGCTTATTGCCATCAATTAAATTAGTCTCATAACACACACAGGGTAATTTATATGCTAGGCTATGTTCAATATAACATACTGCTTAATTAAAAGAGGCTTTATAAATCAAGTGTTCTTGCTATAGTTTTAAACTTCAAAAGGAAACATTTCCACCACTTCAGGAAAATCAAATAAGCATAATAAATGAAGTGGCAACACAGGTTTAAAATACTTCTGAAAAAATGGCAGACTGACCTTATGAGTTTCTTTCAACCTCTTCCTCCCAAAACCACATTAAAATCACAATAAAATATTTCTTAAAAGGTATAAACATACAAAAACTAGGAAAGAGAAAAGGACACTCAAGAGAATTCATTAATTTTTTATAAACTTGAAGAGATGGGGGAAAGGCAATTGACCAGAGGAGCAGAGGCACAACCTGGGTACCACGGAGGACACCAAACAGAAGCAAGCTAATTCGGGTTACAAATCTCAGAAAGGATAAGGCCTTCGGAACACAAGGAACTGTGTTGGCAGAGAAAGTTGTGAGGCTGAAAACAGAGGATAACAATATGTAAGTACATCACTGGATATTCCCCCAACACACATGTTCTCGCACATACATGCAATGTGCTGTGCATCCAGGTTACTGTTCCTCCCACCTCTCCCATTCTTTGGAGAAGCTCAATGAGACCAGAGAAAAATATTTATAAAATACTGGGATGTGGATGCCACTCTAATGAAAAGCCCAGATCACCAAATAAAAAGCCATGGTCCTGTAAAAAGAGCTTCTGAGAGGCCTCAAATATAGATAGGCAACAACCACAGATATGTGGAGAAAACCTCAAAATGATAGTGAAAGCATTGAAAATAAAATATAAAAAAGAACCTGGAAGAGATAACACAATGCATGGAGCAGAAGACAACTTAAAAACAAAACTGTAATTCATATCCTTATAGTAAAAAGGCACATGTAGCAGCCATAAAACAAAATAGATCACTGTAACACAAGAACATCAGGGAACAGAGAATAGTTCTTTGAATTAAAAAATTAAGATAACTGAGATAAAACATTCAACAGAAAGGCTAGAAGATAAAGTTATCTCTGGAGATAAAGATATCTCCCACAAAAGCAAACCAACAAAAAAAATGAAGTAGTTGGAACAAACGAAAGAGTAGAATTAGATCAGGAACTGTCAGAAGATGTAACTTCAAACTAATAGAGGTTTCAGAAAAAGAAAACAGAAAATGGAGAAAATTGTCAAAGAAATAATACAAGAAAAATATATAGGCCCAGCCGGCACGGCTCAGTGGTTGAGTATCAATCTATAAACCAGAGGTCAGGGATGGATTCCAGATCAGGCCATACGCCCAGGTTGCAGGTTCGATACTGTGTGGAACGCGCAGGAGGCAGCCAATCAATGGTTCTCTCTCATCATTAATGTTTCTATGTCTTTCTCTCCTTCTCCCTTCCTCTCTGAAAATCAATAAAAATCTATTTTTTTAAAAAAGTATACAGAACTTTCAGACATGAATTTTCATACTGAAAGGGCCCTAAAGTATCTAGCACAATAAATGAAAAAATGTCCACACCAGTGGTTATTGTTGTGAATTGTTTAAACACCAGGATAAAGAGAAGATTATAAGTTTTCAGAGGGGGGGGGGGGGAAGGTCAAATACCAAAGTAACGATCAGAATGTACAATTGGAAACTTGGGAAGGGTAAGATACAGACTTTAGTAATTATTTGACTTCTAAAACAATGTATACTTTCATTAACAATAAACAAGCTATATATATATGTAAAAATAGAGAAATATGCTAATTAACCGGGATGCAGTAATGTTGACTGGACAGGAGGAGGTTGCACGTGCAGCGTTGGGGGCAGCGTCGGGGGCGGGGCGGCAGGGGCCTCCGCACGCTTGTGCTGGGGGAGGGCCTGACCAGCAGCGGCCATGGCTGCTTCAAGGGCTGGAGAGGGAGTGGGTGGCACTGGGTGATTTCGAATCGTGTGCTGGGCTCCTAGCAGTAACATAAGCAAATAAATAGAGCCATAAAGTAAATAAATGAACAAATAAATATATTAAACAAACTGACTGAATGCTCACTATGTGCTAGGGATACCATTCTTTTTTAAAATGTATTATCTCATTTAACTCTCATAATGGTATGAGGAAGACACTATCAACCTCCTTTTGCAGGTGAGGAAACAGGCTTTGAGAAGTTGAGCAACGATACAACCAGTAAGCCGTGAACTCGGAGTCCTGGCTTTCTGAGTATGGTCTTTTAAATTAAAACTGCATGATCCTGTCTCTCAACTTTAAAAGTAAAATTTTTTTTAAAGAAGAAAACAAAAGACTACTTGATGTTTCCTACATTCCTATTCTGTTCCCAGATCAACTGTGGTTGATGAAAAGTTCTGTCTTTGTTCATCAGAGCACAAGTTTAATGTATTATATGCACGAAATTGGTGCAAGGGGCTAGGGGTGGGCCAGGGGTGGGCAAACTTTTTGACTCGAGGGCCACAATGGATTCTTAAACTGGACCGGAGGGCCGGAACAAAAGCATGGATGGAGTGTTTGTGTGAACTAATATAAATTCAAAGTAAACATCATTACATAAAAGGGTACGGTCTTTTTTTTTTTTTAGTTTTATTCATTTCAAACGGGCTGGATCCGGCCTGCGGGCTGTAGTTTGCCCACGGCTGGGCTAGGCCCTCGTGGCCCCAGCTTTGTCCAGAAGGTTGTCTGGAAGGTCGTTCAGCTGTCTGGTCTAATTAGCATATTACACTTTTATTATTATAGATGTGTGTGGGGTTTGGAGGATGCAGGTTGAAGTATTTGCTAGTATTTTAAATATTCATTGTATAAAAGTACTTTATGCTAAGAATTTGTGATTTGCTGCTAGAAGGATAATAAGCAGATTCCTTTACCTAAACGCATCAACAACCTCCACCAAAAGAAATGACACACCTACAGCATCAGGTCGCCACTGTGTACCTCGTGCAAAGAATAACAGGTATATACATTTCATTAAAAACAGTTGCCTCTTTTCTAAATTATTGTCATCTGAGCCCTTCACACTCCTCTAGTCCTGCAAGGAAAACATTCCTAGAAGATTTTCCTAGTCATTTACATGACTGTCAAGTATACTGATGCAACAAAAACATCATGTCCCTGTACTCATTCTTGCCTTTTACTCATCCTTACCTTATATTAAGTACTAATGATACTTGAACATTTGCGTGTGAATTCCTCTGTAGGCGTCAGCCTCATTTACTTTCCTACTTTCGCTGTCCTGTCCATCCATCTTCTCACTTATTGTCCCTGTTTAGGAGATTCTACCTTAGGAAACGGGTGCAGTGGGTGGGCTAGATTCCTTTGATTAGGTTTTTTGTGTGTGTATTTTTTTTTCCCTATCTGGTGACATCTTCATTCTTTCTGACCTGAAATACCGAAGCTACAGTTTTGGCATTTGGTCCTTTGCGACTGATGAACAATAATGTCTTTTAAGACCTCGCAGCCCCGCACGGCCCCGGGCCTCCTGGATCACTTGCTGTGGCCCACCCAGCCCAGCCTGTGAGTCCCTCCTCTCATAGGCCACTCTCCGCTTTCTGCAGGTCGTGACCTTGGTTTTCGTTTTGTTTTGTCCTGGTTTGGGGTTTCCCTTGATGCGCGGTCGCTGCAGCAACCTCCAAGGTTCTCCATCATCAGTGACAGCACCATCCGAGCCTTGGCACCATCTGCATGAGCACCGGGGCTGCCGGCCTAGAGGGTGTCGGTCTCGGTGGCAGGAGGTCCCTGCCCCCGGCCGCAGAGCTCACACCGCCACCACCTCCCAAGGCCGGGGTCACGGGGTCACGGGGGCCCCAGCCTCAGTCGCACCCGCAGGCCCGCCCCGCACGCAGGGGAACACCTGGCGGACGGCACCTGCGGGCGCCGGCGCACGCGCACCTACCGTCTCCTTGGCAGCGGCGACCGGGATGGGCAGCAGCCCCCGGCCGCGGGGCGGGTCCTCCGGCTCCAAGTCGGCGCCCTCGGATGGGCGCCCGGGGTCCGGCGCCCGCGCGGAGTCGGGCCGGGGGTCCCCGTACAGCTGGTAGCACACGAGGCCGACCAGCCCCCCGCCGGCCGCCGCCGCGAAGCTCAGCTCCCCCCAGCGCCGCCGCCGCCTCCACGCCGCCTCCGCCACAGCCCCGTCCTTCCTCCTCCCGGCAGGGGCAGGGCCGGCCGGGCGGGCCCGCGGCTGTT